TCTATACCTATCTGTGAACCCCCCCAGCTACCTGCTTATAAAAATCATGAGTTTATACTGATACCTCTGATTCTAATTTCATACCCCAGAGTTTATTCTAGCTTCTCCTTCTTTATAACTTCTGTTTGTGAGATTATTGGCTTTAATCATCCAAAATATTTTTACTCTTTTGTTCATTCCTTGTGTGTGTGTGTTGCAGAATGAGACTTGCTAAATCATACACTTGTGAGAAACAAATTTACTAACGAGAATGTAATGTTTGTGCCACAGTTGTTTTTGCCTTTAGCTTTACATTAAACGGTGAAAATAGAATTTTCCTAAGTTACTTAGGCTGGTTCTTTTCTCCCCCACTCCCTTCCGTGTGGTCACGTTTTTCATTCAGAACAAGGTTAGGTTTATTTGTTTCTATGCCATTTTGGATTTTCCCGCTCCCCTCCCTCCCCCCACCTCGCCTTGCCATCCTGGTTGATTTTAGTTATTTATTTCTGTTTTAGTGTAATTGAGTCATTGTTATGCTTCTAAGATTCAGAGCTATACGGCAAAATAGACTCAGAAAAGTGTCACTGTCTCATTACATTGTCCCTTCCCAGTCCCTCTTTCTTTCAATCCTATTCCTATTTATTCCCTGTTAAGTAACCCATTTCATTAGTTTCTCTTTTATACTTCCTATATATCCTATGCACAAATGAGCTGATGCATGTATAGTTTTTAATACTCTCCTCTTCCTCTATGAAGGGTAGCTTGTACTGTGTTGTGTGTGTATACACACACACTTTTTTGCATTTTTCCTTTCTACTTAACAATATATCCTATATTAAAAAGAGATTTAAATCCACCCTTCCCTTAGCATGCTGTGATAGGAAGTAGTTTTTATTATTTTCTACCCATAGAATTTTGAATATGAAATACACAACTTAGATATATAAAAGCAAAGCATCAAAATTCAGGGAAACACTGTTTCTTTGAAGTTTTACTTTCTAAAGCTTAACATTCCAGGGTCATAAATATCAGTATTTTTCCACTAAAGATTTACGTCAAAATAGTATAAATTTTTCATAGTAATTTAAATGCTTTTACTTAATAAATGCAAACTTGCCTTTCATTTCCAGCTGGTAGCAGTGTTTGACGAGCAAGATCCGCATCATGGAGGTGATGGCACCAGTGCCAGCTCCACAGGTACCCAGAGCCCAGAGATATTTGGTAGTGAGCTTGGCACCAACAATGTTTCCGCCTTTCAGCCTTATCAAGCAACGAGTGAAATTGAGGTCACACCTTCAGTCCTTCGTGCAAGTAAGTAAAAGCTCTTTCTTCTCTGTACATTTCATCTTAATTTACAGGGATACCAGCTTTTATTATCCATCCATGCTCTTGAAAATGGAATTCATTATCTGTTCTTATCAAAAATTGATTAAGTTTAGAACCTGGGCAAATGTCTTTTGCAAGAAGAGTAGGCAATTCTTCACATTTTAATAGATAGGGCTTACATTACTTTTAGTATACTTTTAATTGCTTGGTCACAGTAAATAAGAGCAATAGTTCAGGTTAATTTATCTGGATTTTCCTTTCCATGTATTTTATCTGAATGCTGGAAAAAATAGAAATAATCAGAGGGCTTTGCATGGGAACAAAACATAGCATCATTAACTGACAGTCAACTAACTCGGTTGCAACCATTATTTGTATTATTTGAACTTTATCTGAAAGTTACCTTCTGGGATCTGGAAGAGCTGCTATTACAGTGCCGCCTCCAGAAAAGGGGATATAGGACACAGCGACTCTGTATTAGCAATCCTAGGACACAGAGTATTTCTCTTCCGGGACAATGGCTTGAAGAATTCTGTTAGCCATTCCTGGAAGGCTTACTCAGAAAAGTGAGGTACTTTTGCTAGAGAAATAGTAGTTAGTGTTTGTAATTATGTAATTTTATGATGGAGCAGCTGTTACAATTCTGAAGGTCCATTTCAAGAAATTTGTAAGTTATTTTTAGGAATATCTATTTGGAAACGTTAGTTTTTCAGGTGGAAAATATGGTCTTGTGTGGGTTTACTGATTGATAGTCTTCAGTTGATCTGCAGATATAGATGGATAATTATACATCATATATGTTTATATAATATATAAAATTAGCATGCAAAATGTAGGTACTGGTTAGAATGCATAGTTTATTCCCCTAAAATGCATCCTTATTCTCATTTTTTTTGCATTGGTAGGAATCTATGGCATTTTCGCAATTTGCTTCTAGATGTTTATAAACTGAATGTATATATAAGGAGAACAAGGAAAGAATATTATACAATTAGCATGCAAAATGTAGGTAATGGTTAGAATGCATAGTTTATTCCTCTAAAATGCATCCTTATTCTCATTTTTTTTGCATTGGTAGCAATCTATGGCATTTTCGCAATTTGCTTCTAGATGTTTATAAACTGAATGTATATATAAGGAGAACAAGGAAAGAATATTAAAAATTAACACATCTGGTTGTCCATCAGAACCTATAGGAAAAGTGTGCCACATAGATGTGTAGAGAATTTAGAAGGAATAGTGCAAGATGGGACGTGTAAGTAATGGCGTAGAGCAGAGGTCCCCAACCTTTTTGGCACCAGGAACCTATTTCATGGAAGACAATTTTTGCACAGATGGAGTGGAGGTGGGGTGGTGTGGAGCTCAGGCAGTGATGCCAGTGATGCCAGTGATGGGGAGCGGCTGTAAATAGAGATGAAGCTTTGCTCCCTGGCCTGCTTCTCACCTCCTGCCGTGCGCACCCCCCCCAAGTTTCATGGTAGACAGTTTTTACGTGGATAGGGTGGGGCAGGGGGGCGTGGAGCTCTGCAGCCTGGTCCCTAACAGGCCACAGACTGTTACCAGTCCACAGACTTGGGAGAGGGGACCACAGCCCTAGAAGATTCTATTCAGGCAAAGACCAGTTCTAACCACTTCCTACGATTGCCCTCTATCATGTGGACAAGATGAGACCTAGATACAATGAAAAATGTTTCCCAGGAACCTTGGAGTGGAACGGCTGCTGTAAGTTGTTTTAGTTGAACATTTCTTTATATGCAGGATATTTAGGTTTCATTGTAAAATACAAGCAAATGTATTTTACATTAATTTTTGTGGAAGTAACATTTCTTTACTCCAAGGGCATATTAATACTATTTTAAAAGTCCGATATTGGATTTACTTTGGACAGTGTTTTTCAAAATGTGGGGCAGGTACAGTGCATGGTGTACAAGGTGATGTGTAGGTGGCACAAAAGTTACCCTAGTTTCTTTCGTTGTATACTAGCTCATTAAACCCACGATTTAATGGATATCTGCTTGGAATGAGCCTATGTATACAACATAGATTGCCTAAATTTGAGAAAATTTTAATTAACTCATAGTGCAAGTATTGAGGTACCTAGAGTTTGGAAAATGATGTCTTTATGTGAGTAATTGCACCTTAATGTACGTACTTAAATACAAAACTTTGTGTTGTGTTACTGTTCTGGTTTTGTATTTGTATGTTTTCTAAAGCAAGAAGCACTTGTGATTTTCTGCACCATAAGAAATGTTGGAGGAAAGGTAAATCCTGTGTAGATGTTAGAAGAATTCGAATGCATGCTGTCCCTCCCTTTTTATCCTTTCTCTCCTCTGGACTCAACAAAATCTCCAACACACAACCACCCACATTTGGCCGGCCCTTATGTGTAAAAATTTAAATGCTGTTTTCAACCCAAAATATCTCTTTTATCTTGTTTTTATTGAGAAAAAGTTACATTTGAAGCATATGTGTTGTCTTGCAGCCACCAGTGGGAGAATATGCAAATCTTGTTTTCTTGCTTTGATTTTTATACGCTGAGGTTGTTTAGATTTTAAGGCCTTGGCAGGCGTTGGGTAAGTACATGTTATGCATCTACTATATACAACATTCGTGACTATGTAAAAATTGCCATCACACATGAGCCATCTAGCTATTAAAATGCTATTTCGTGCTGTATTAATGACATTCATTCACACATGGAACATGAGTCTGTCTGTGCTGGCCGGCATCGCACCCTTGCTGTCAAGAAAGTCTAGTCTTTGTTATTTGCAGATTGGAAAATAAAGAAGCCAACAATATGTAGACATTTGCTCCATTGAGGAATATTTCTAATTAGGGGCATGACTTTCAGATAAATAAACTCTTCATTTTAGCCTTGATGAAAGAGTGATAACTTTTCTATTTCTGGTGAGTGAATTCACTCATTCCCTTTGTTCCATAAAGAATTTGGTGGAAGGTGAGAAAAACAGAGTATAATTCTTTTTTTCAGTGGAAACATGGGTATTCAGTTTAGGTATTAAGATAAAGCCTGGATGGGTTTAATGCACAGAATTCTCACCTTGTGGTCTTTTTGTGTTTTCTTACACACTACCATTGAGTTGGCCTTAAGCTTTTTTGTTAGTACATACAGAGAACTCTGATTTAGTAAAGTCAGTGGTTCTCAACCGGAGTGGTTTTCCCCCAAAGGACATTTCACAATGTCTGTAGGTATTTTTGGTTATCACAACTGGTAGGTGTGTGTGTGGGAGATTGCCCCTGGCATCTCGTAGAGACCAAATATCCTGCAAGCACAGGACAGTCCCCTACATTCAAGAACTCACCAGCCCAGATGTCACTAGTGCCAAGGTTAGAAACCCTGAATTGAATGAATCGTTGTTTTTACAGTCAAAATAGCAGTTATCTGAAACTTGAGAGAGAAATTTTCCTGAGTCCAGTATATTAAAAAATGTCCTGAATACCACCCTTAAACTAAGGGGACAAAGATGCGATTACTACTAATTACGCTATCATTTGTGGTAGGTAGCTGATGGACAATAATAAAGAAAGGGTGGACTGTGAGTAATAGTACACAAAATATTAGTACAATTATTGTTAGAACAAAAATATAAACTTTTCTAAAACAAATTTTTAAGGAAATGATGAACCACACAGTGAAAGACAAAAAATGTATGTAAAAGCTTCTCATGTCAAAGAAAGAAAATAAAATCGTATAACCATAAGAAATAAATACCTGTGGGAAGGAGAGAATAGGATGGAGGGAGCAGAGTAAGATCTTGACTTCTACTACCTTGTTTCGTATGTTTGACATCGGAACCTTATTATGTTTTCCATAATTATAAAATAATCCAATTTTAATTTTTAAAATGTTTTAAATGAATAATGGTACTATTCATAATAAAATGTTAACAGATAATTCTTAAAATAAAAAATGAATATGAAATACCTAAATACAAATATATATCCTGTTGGTGTCCCCAACATACCCCAAGGGTAACTATTATAAGTAATTTTACAGCACAGTAATTTGTTCAGCCAAAGGTAGGTGGATCCCAAGGAAAAAAAGAACTGCCAAGCAAACAAGAACCATGCAACTGTTTGTTGTTGGTGGTGTTAATCTTTGATTTTTAGGTGGGTGTTACAGGGTGAAGGAAATGAGGAATTACGATATTCCAATTCTGTCATTCCCGTCGCCATTGAGGAGCCAGGTTTCTTAGCATAGACAAAAAGGGACACAAATGTATGTTAGTGGAGAACATACAAAAATTTTATAGTCCTCACTTTGGAATAGGACATGTGATAATAAATTCATGGTATGTTTTATTTCTTTAAAAAAAAAAAAAAAGAACATGGAAGGAACAGTCCTCTATGTGTTCACTAAAACAGCCTAGAATCGGTGACCAACCCAGTAACAGATTTCTCACATTCAAACTGTGCTCTGGAAATAGCGTCTCCCATTAAAAGAGAATAGAGCTCCTTAGAGAAACGCTTGAATTTAGGTTTGGACAGGGGGAGTGTACGAGATGATCTTGGCTCATCATGTCATATTAGCAAACCAGGACACCACGAAAGGTTACTAGTTTGTGTTGGCTGGCCTAGGAGCCAACACGATGTTCCCGTTGGCCAGCAGTGGGGCAATTTGGAACATCAATAAGGGTAGTAACAGCAATAAACACATGAGTTTATAATAAGTAAACAAGCCAATGAGCAAGGTAAAGGATGTGAGTGAACCAATTTATTGTTGGAAAATTGTTCAGGGAAGGAAATAGTGAGTCATCTATTCTGCGTTTTCTACATGAGTGGTATCACTAGATAACCGAATAGTAGATGAGAGTAAAATTACTTTTTAAAGAAGTATTCTGGGTAATAAATGAAGATTAATAATAATAACAGAATTAGAATATTACTATTTTGTAATTCTTGATCAAATAATGGACTTAGGTATTGATCATTGCTGTGGTCTGTGTGTCCCCTACAGAATTCATGTG